TAACAATGAGGGTCTCCTTCCATTTCCATGCAATTTCCCTTTTCTCTCCCTTTCCCTCCCACCTCATGACTCTATTTAATGTTAATCATTTTCTTCCTGCTCTTCCTCCCTGCTCTGTTCTTGGTTGCTCTCATTATATCAAAGAAGACATTTGGCATTTGTTTTTTAGGGATTGGCTAGCTTCACTTAGCATAATCTGCTCTAATGCCAAGTATGGAAATTTTGTGTCTATAAATTTTCTTTAACATTTTATCAAGCAATCTGAGGGTTTTTTTTTTTTTTTTAATGGAATTGATTTCCCCCCATCTTGCTGCTTTTTCCAAGGGATGCCTGGAGAGAATGAGAAACAGCCGGGACAGGCTCCTGAACAGTTACCGCCAGATTGGGAGCAGTATGCCAGGGAGAGGTCAGAATGCCCTTCTAGTGCAAGAGGTGATGGAAGAAGAATGGAAGTCTTTGCAGTCAAGCGAGTACTGTCCAGAGGCTTTGGCTCAGGTCAGGCTTGGATAAGTGTTTTCAGAGAAGGGTTTGCACCATGAGGAAATCCTAGTGTCTTCTTTGTACCTATTTATGCATTTCCTCTAAACCCACTGACTCTCCAACCCCTAATTTGAATTCTAACAGCCTTTGATCCAGACTCTTCTGCCTTTAACATTAAATTATTCTAGGTTAGTGGTTCCTAAATATTAGACTGTAGACCTGCTACATACTTGCAACATAATCACTTACGAAACTGTAAAGAAATTTTTGTCTCCACTCTTGGGAATTTTGATTACTTAGGCATGAACTAGGAATCTGGCTTCTTAAAAGTCTCTAGGAACATTCTGATTACAGTCTCAGCCAAAGTTGGAAACTGAATATGAATAGGAAATCGTTTATGGTGTATCAGGAAGAGTACTAGATTGGAGGTCAGGAGTTCAGGAATCCTAATTCTGGTTTTGCTACTGACTCTTAGCTTCACTCTCTTTGAGCCTTATACATTTATAAAATGAAGAAAATAATGTCAATATTGTAAGGACTATATGAAAAAATTCTGAAACTGCTTTGAAACTATCAAGGCACTATATAATAGGAAGGCACACTGTTCAGTGGCTTGCCTTACATCACCACAGTTACTACTCATGATAGTCCTCTTGGGTGGGTTTTATTCCCACTTTACAGAGGTCAAAACTGAGGATTATAAAGACTAAGAACTTTTCCTGGTTATATAACCTTGGGAGAACATATATTTAACTACAGCCGTATACTGTCAGCCCCAAATTTGACAGTGTTATTTTATCACTGGCTAGTTTGATCATTTGTCAATGACTTAACATGACCACATTACCCCGTTGTCAGCATAGTCTGTTGGAGGACCTGACTGATTTTTCAGATAAATCTGTTTTTTTATTTTGTTTTTGGTACTAGAGATTGAAGCCAGGGGCACTTAACCACTAAACTACATACTGACCCCTTTTTATTTATTTTGAGATAAAGTCTTGCTAAGTGGCTTAGGACCTCTCTAGGTTGCTGAGACTGGCCTTGAACTTGTGATCCTCTTGCCTCAGCCTTCTAAATTTCTGGGCTTATAGGCATGTGCCACCATGCCCAGCAAATCTGGGTTCTTAAGCCAACCTCTAAGTATGAATTACTGTTGGGTTTGGGGACAGATTAATAATTCAAATTTAAGATGATTCCACTTTCTTTTATAGTTGAGCTTGCCAATGGACTTGGCTGTGYTAGAGGAAATCCAGCAGGAGCTGATTGATCAAGGTAACTCTAGGCAGTGGTCCTTCCTGTATTTAACCACTCTTATTACTGGCCTTTTCTACCACTATCTTCAGTCAAGTGTCTAGAATTCTTTGGTTTTACTCTGAATTTTTGACTGTCTGTCTTCCTAATAATAAGAATCTCTAGGGTGCTGGGCTTTGCTGTTTTGTGCTAACAACTTTTTTCATTCTATGGTATTGCTTTCCCTTTATCTACCCTATAAGATCTTATTAGATTAGAAAGTGGTGTTCTCACACAGATTGTACAATTAATGAATCAGTGGAGCTGGGAAGCAAAATTTTGTGAATCCACTTCCCACATTTGTTCTGTCCTGCTCTTTATTAATAGTTTTAGCCAAGTGCAGTGTCCTGAGCCTGTGGTTYCATCTACTCCAGAGGCTGAGATGGGAGGATTGCTTGGGCCCAGGACTTTGAGGCCAGCCAGCCTGGGCAATATAGTAAGACTCCCCATTAAAAAAAAATAAATAAATAAAGCAAAAAAAAGAAAAAATGGTTAATAGTAAACATGTCACTTTACAGGATGCAGTGGAGTGGTGCATGGTCATATCCCTTGCTTTACCCAATTTAAATGCCATCTCTCTCATCAATTCTTTATTGATTCCCCAGGATCTTGTGAACATTACTCCTTGAGATGTCATAGCATTATGGAGAATACATAATTTTAGCACCTCATATAATTGTCTTTTATTCCATATAGTCTTATCTTGACTAGGTTTCATCTTTATCATCTGTAAAATAGAGATGATAGGCCTGCCCTGTAAGTTTGTCATAAGGCTTAAATAATATGTGTAGAGAACTTAGAGCAATGTCTGGCATGCAGAAAACTTTCAGTAATCAGTAGCTATTATTATGGTAATACATGAGCACACATTCTTGAACCAGACCATAAAGAGACATTTCTCAGCTTTACCACTTATAAATTCTGTGGAACTGAGCAAAGTAGTTAATTTTCCCATGCCTCAGTTCCTTCTTCTTTGAAATAAAGATATTTATAGTGAAGAAACTAATATATGTAAAGGATTTAAGCAGCATTTAAAACATAGTAAGTGCTCTGCAAATGATAGCTGTTATGATTGACTTCACTTGGATTGTGAAGTTCTTAAAGTTTAGTTATCTTCTTTTTGTAATTGATTCTCTCTTCCCCCTGCCTACAGAACCTGTCTGAATGATGAAACATATGACCCAGTAAATCTTTCTTTCAGAGTATATTTAACTAAAAATTCTAAAATGATAAGGTTTTACTGTGCTGTGCTACCATCAGCCAGTTGGAACATTCTAAAACAGGGGTCGGCGACCTTTCTGTAAAAGGCCAGCTATTACAACTACTCTCTACTGTTGTGATGGAAAAGCAGTTATAGACAGTGTGTAAACAAATGAGCACAGCTATAGTTGGTTGCTTCTGTGTCTAGATCTGGACTGTGAGTTCATCAAGGGCAGAACAATCTTTTTCATCTCTGTACCCCTGTGACTAGCACATATTAGGTACTGTTGTACTTTTGCTGAATCAGTCAACACAGATTCTGAACAACATAGGTTCTGAGTACACAGCCATTGAGAAACTGATCACTTGAGGCTTAACAGTGAGCCTAATGTCAGAAGTAAATGCTCTGTAAGTATCAGCTTTCTCCATTTGCTCTTGAGACTCCGACATTTCACACCTTTACTCCTGTGGCCTGTAGAGATGTGTGAAAATTATCTCCTTGTCCCTTAGCCTACTTTATCTCCTGTGCTCACAAGGAGGGGTACATGGGGGCTGCAGAGATCCAACAAGATGTTAGCCTGAGTTTTACCTGAATCTTTACCTTAGGTGGAAGAGACTTTTGAAGGTGAAACCTGGCATTAAATACAGGACATCCCCGGGAAAACATGGTGAGGCACTCCTGCTGCCTTTTGCCTTGCAGAACAGTCTATCATCAGCGAGTATGAGAAGAGCTTGCAGTTTGATGAACAGTATCTCAGCATCATGCTGGCTGAGTGGGAAGCGAAGCCCCTCATTTGTCCTGTTTGTACAAAGTAAGAGTCTTCAAATTTTTTAGCATTATTGGTTCCCATCCCTCATTCCAAGGTGAGTGGGATCCCCTTCCCCACCAAAAATCTGTTGCATGAGAAGTTCGGAGGGCTCAGGTCTGACCACCATGATGATAGAAGATCCTAATTCTGATTCTAGGTACAACCTGAGAATAACAAATGGTGTGGTTGTGTGTCAATGTGGCCTGTACATCCCATCTCATGTAAGTATTCCACATAAAGGTTTTGTGCCATCTCTTTCCAAATACATCTGTTTTTTAAAGAACTTTCAGTCATGGACTGAAGCTTATGTGCACATCTCTTCCTGATTTTGTGTTCAGCAATACCAGATTGGTAGCCTCACATCAGYTATGGGAAGAACATATGCAGCATGGAAATTGGCAAACACTTCATACAAATCAGGGCTTTTGTCCCCTTCTCCCCCACCCCGCAGGCAGAGTGTCTCCCACCTCTGCTTCCAGTCTATAGAGTGATCAAAGAGGTTTGGAAACACTTGTCTCTGATCTTCCATAGAAAGTTTCTATATATGAAGACACACCAATATTTAGAATGTAAACCTCAGTAACCTTAAAATGCATAAGGAACCCTCTTTTCAGACATGCTGGGGCAGCAAGTTTGCCAGTTCATTGAGCAGCTGGTTAAAATGGCAAATTATAAAAATGAATAATTTTATGGTGAGTTCCTAACAACTTTGAAAATAACTCCTATATTGCTTAGTCTAAAGTTGTACAGTTTCATCCCTTTGAAGTTGATCAAGAAGCTGAATATAGAACTTTAGGATTTTTCTTTTACTTAACAGATTTTTTTTAAACAACTCATCCTTTTGAATGTTTCCTAAACTCTATTATCATAAAAATAAAACTTTATTTTCATACAGTATCATTGGTTTACATAAATAAAATCTCAGAGATACAGTAGCAAGTTCAGTTAGCACAAATAGATCTGGGAGCAGACACTGCTGATCCTTAGTAAGAATACACTGAGCCAGTAGCTGCAGAAGCAGGTTGTTAGAAAGTAGCCTGCTCTCTCTGAATGTTCCTGCTGTGAGTTGCAGTCAATGTTTTGAAGAGGGAATTGATAGTACTGGAGAGGCAGTTAAATATGGAGATCTTGGCACAGTCTTAGGCCCAGGACTGTCTTTAAAGCTTCAAGGAATCAATCCAATCACAGCAATTGAGCTAGAGTTACATTGGTTGGCATGAGGAATAATTATTTTGAACCTGTTGATAATCACGTAACTTAGTTGCAGTTGAATTTTATTTTTCAGTCTCCAGAATTGTCAGAACAGAAGCTTCGTACCTATTTAGAAGATAGTGTAAATGATCACAGTACACATTGTCCCCATACCCCTGAATTTTCAGTCACTGATGGAACAGAAGAAAAGCCCAGTCTTCTCATGTACTGTCTGGTAAGCTTCCCATGGGACCCAGTGGTAAGAGCAGATCACCAGTTTGTTTTATTCCCATCTTGGTGGAAATAATCTTTAGAGATAGGTAAATGTTTAATGGTTTATTTTTTTAAGCATTTACTTCATAGATAGTGAAGTTAACTTCACCTAAAAGATCAGTCATTCCCTGAAAAGCAAAGAGGCAGCCTAGGATCATGGTGTCCAACTGTACTGTCTGCTCGTTAGATCTGCTTCAGTGGTCTTGGACTCCTCAGATCAGGTCATGGTCATAAAACCCAGGTAGCCATCCTGGCACCGCCTCTGCAAATGGATGTGGGACAGGAAGCACAGCACAGCAGCATAAGGCTAGTCTCTCAACAAGAATCTTCACAGAGGTGCAAGGTCAGATTCTAGGTCCCTAAGTAGTAACTCAGGTGTGAGGGACAGGACTCTAAGTAGGTATGTGTGTCACTTGTCTTGAAACCTTAAGCTTCTTATAAGAACTAGTGTCTCTTACAGTAATCAATGTAATGAAGTAGTCATCACTATGACATGTTATAGCTTCTAGGCCTCCCGGCAAAGGGAACTTTGGGATTAGTGAGCACTAGAGCATGCCAGATACTCAGTAAAACCTAACCCTTCACATRATACCAGCCAGTCTTTTATAGGCTCCCAACTGTACCTGATACCATGAGCCCTCTTAACACTGCTGCATGTGGTGAGCCACTCTGAATAACCATGCCTTCCAGTCCTGAAGCATGAGGCTCTGACCAATCACAAGGCGTGGCTCCAGGTGTAGGCGTCACCTGCTACCTGCAGGGATTGAGCTATTCCTTTGTAATCCTACCCCTTACCTCATTTACATGGCTTTTTCACAATAAAAAAGGGTTCAGAACTTTGCTCCTCTCTCTTTCCATGGACCCCTAAGGTCAGAGGAGCCATCACAGGACCCAAAGAAAAAGGTATTTCTCTTTCTGTGATTATTTCATTTTGCACAGCCCAGTTCACCTAGAGTGTGTAGTTGTGAAATGTGAGGGCTGCAGTTACCTGTTATGTCTTTTGTCCTTTAGGGCAAGGATCATACCTTTATTTTACTCCCAATGCCTAGCATCTAAATAGGTGCTTAATTTTTATATAAATGGAGGAAGAAGAGCTGAAGAGGCATGGGTCATATGACCTCAACTTTTGCCTTCTTAGGATAATGAACTAGTGAGTCACCTGCACAGATGATTATAGTAGCAGAGTAGTGTGGTGCTCCTGGAGTGTGAAAGTCTCAGGCCAAATGCTAGAGAGATAAGAATGACAGTTAAAAGAGGAAACCAGCCAGGACAGAGGCATGTCCCTAGAATTCCAGCTACTCAGCATGCTAAGGCAAGATCCTTGAGCCTAGGAGTTCAAGACCAACCTGGGCCACTTATTGAGACTCTTTGTCTCCAAAAAACAAAAAAAGCAAAAAGATTGCCTAATTACTGAATATACATCTGTGCCTCTCCCTGGATTTGTAGATCTAGTGAGATCAGGCTATAGGGCCATTTAGCATAGATGGGGATGAGGTAGAAGGAAATAGGTGTGGGTAGAAAAGATGGTGGTCTATGACAAGGGCTTGGACTGTCTGAGATATGAAAATATGAAACTGGCCAGGGGATGGAATGTTCCAAGCTATCTGTTAGGGTTATAGCATCTTTCAGAAAAAGCCAAATATATTCTCTATGGAGTCAAGTAAAGGACAGATGTGATTCTTTAGCATAGTGGTGGGGCCAAGCCATCGAGGAATGTTCACTGATCATATTATGGGATATCGAGGGAAGGCTTGTGGGATTACAATTAAATTTATGCTAACTTGTTTTCTGTTTAAATTTAGGTTTGTGATACATGGGCTGTGATCCTCTAGAGCCAGCCTGGACTCATGTCAAATCCTCAAATCCTATAAGAGGATTTCCTGTATGTACAGATCTTTTACTTAGAATTTATCTTATATTAAAATTTTTCAAACATGTCTGTTTTGGTGTTTTGATGCAGTTTGAAGGTGAAGAAATAGAAAAGACAAACTTCCTTGGAGGAGATAAAAGAATTTTATTGTCCATCATTGTGTTATACAAAAATCTAGAAATAATAGTTTGTACAGGAAAACTACCAAATGAATAGTAAATGAGAGCATGACAGCAATAATTTAAATTTGCTTATTTTTCCCCCATGATGTTAGGATTATAACCACTTCAAAGCACATAGTCTGGTGTCAGGGTAGTTTTTGTTCACTGGTCAAAGCTCACCATAATATTAAGGCCTTCAAGTGTCTCTGATTGCTCTACTGGCTCTTGACGAAACTTTTGAGGTCTTCAAGAAAACTAATGTACTCCTGGTGCTCCAGGGCTGTGCTGAGTTCCACCAACTCATCTGCAAAAGTGTTATCCACCCCTCGGTCCGCAAGGAAATCCATTAGGTGGTCATACAAGGCCTATAAAGAAACATTTATTAGTTTAAAGAAGTACAACAACAATCAGTAATGCTTACTAATTAAAATGCTGCTTCTTGTCCTTGAACTGAGACCCTCCCCTACAAGGCATGATTATCCCCTATCCTACCCAGAACTCACCCAGTCCAGGGAATCTGTATTCAGTGTGTAGTTAGTGTCTTTCCATTCTGACTCGCCAGTGGCCTGAAAGCTGACTTCCTTAATAGAGAAAATGTCACTCTCGGCTTCCTCTTCTTGTCCAATCTGAGAAGAAATAGCATTTAGGAAAACTGAAGGGTTCTCTAGGAAAAGCCAGAATCAGGCAAAGAAAGGCTTTGCAGCCTGAAACTCCCAGGTTCTAGCTACCGTCTCTCCTCACCCCCACATCTTTCCCTGCTTTGCTGGTCTAGAAAGTTTCACAAGTATCTACTAAAAGGACCAGAAAGATCCCAGGACACACTCCTTGCCTGGGGGGGGTGCCAAGGGACTGTCACTCCAGCTTACATACCTCATCCTCTGGATAGTGACAATCTAGTACAAGAGCTTTCTTGCCATCACTCTTTGTAACTTCAACCACAAAATTTGGAGTGGATGTCAGTTCAGGCTGGGGAAAAAAAACAAGTCAGTACAAGTCACTGTTGAAAGGAGTTCATCCCTGGACCAAAGGCATCAGGTAGTTCAGTGATGGCCACCACTATTAGGATATCTAGCCATTTTCATAATCTTATGCTATGGTGTTCAAATAAGGAGCCCAGGATCTTTAACACAGTATTACAAAGAGTTTTACTTCTGTTAGCACTCTACTTTTAAAAATACATGGGGTTTAATAAGAAATCTGAATTCCTGTTAATGGTACCAGTTAATTGAGATCTAGATTAGTCCCTCAACCTTCCTGGGCCTGTTCTTTCTCCACCCACACACTGAAAAGACGGCCCAAAGCTCTAAGACACTCTTTCCAGTTTAGTTGTTTCAGGAATCCTTTCTGTATTATAGACCAGGATCAAAGGCTGGCACACTGGTTCTGGTCAAATGGCTATCCCTACTGGCTGAGTAATAGCAGCTTTTCTGATGGTGACCCTGGGAGCAGTTCAAGGTCAGGGAAAATCCATTCAGGGTAGCTAAGACAAGCATACAAGAAGAGCTCTGCTTCCATAGTAGGCCAGAAGACGGCACTGATACCTGCTCAAACAGTCTGGGGACCCCAGGGCCCTCTCACTAGTTGGCCACTTCCTAAGATGTCTCAAGACAAAGCACCACCTAGATCCAACAAAGAAAGCCAGCAACCTAAAAAATGATCTCACCTAACCAAGTGTTAAAATCTCTGAGGCCCTTGGCTTTCCTACGTTGGTTAAATGGGCAGTATTTACTAACAGCTTAAGACCTGTTAGGAACATTCCTTAAGGAGTGAAAGTTTCAGTTTCTTTCCATTAATAGAAAACAGGCCTAACTATGAAGCCTGAGCTGGCTCCTGGCAGTGTATTCAGCCCCTGGGAAAGGAGGGGCCACAAACCCAGGGGCTAACACTGGCTAGAACCTATTGACTCTGTTGCTCTGTAAGTCCACTGCCTTCTCTTCAAGTATTAAGAAAAAAATTTAAAAAGAACCAGTTGTTCTTGCCTGTTAGAACTGATGGAAAGTCTGGTTAACAGCACAGGCTTACCTCCTGTTCTTCAACCTTCTGCCCTTGTGAGGGCTCTTCCTCACCATCAAATGTTGGTGGGATGCTATTGTTAATGTTGAAAGTGACAGTAATCCTAGAAAGACAAATGAAGACACAATAGCAAGGTATACTTTTAACTGAGTAATAGAACAGGTTAAGTATTGAGGCTTATTGAAACAATGTCTCTATCCTAGGTGGCTGTACATTTATCTGTAGAACTCTAAAACAGGCACATTACCTACATGTGCCAATGGCTCAAAGTTAAATTACTAGGCTCTGGCTGGGGGGGTGTGGTTCAGTGGTAGAACACTTGCCTACTATGTATGAAACCCTGGGTTCTGTCCCAAGCACAAGGAGTGGGGTGGTAGAATTAGCAAGGCCTGTTATCTCAACCAAACCCAGTCATACCTGGGCTACTTCCATCAGGCAAGCATCCCAGGGCCCAATGCCACATGTCCACTGGCCATCTCATGATACTGCCTGCCCTAGTCTTTCCAGGTATCCACTAGAGATGAGCAGCTGAGAAGCTGATGAGATGCAACAGAAGTCCATTTAAAAACTTCCCCATCTCAAAATCTGCCGGAGAAGGTGGCATCACATTGGCATCACAATAAATGTGGCAGTATCAATTCATTCTTCACAATCACAAGACAGGCCAGAAACATCAACTAATAACTTTAAGGGTTAAGAATCCTGACCTGGCAAATCATGTTTGGGTCAAAATTCCTGTGATAAAGAGATCTGGAACTAGAAGTGCTGGGCTACTCCAGCAGGTCCCACTCCATATAAGAGTACATTAAATGCTGCTCCCTGGATTCATACTGACTGGTTGCCTTACCATGAAGCTGCTTTCCTATAGGAATGGCAATTTGAGGTTCTGCCACAAATCTCTGATCTGTAACACTACTGATCAAGCTGAATTCCAGGGCATGGAAATGCAGTATGTTCACCAGAGCATTATTTATAATGGCCCCCAAACTGGTCATGAAAACCCTACGAAAATGACTTAGGTACCGCACATTGGCACATGCTTATAATCCCAGTGACTCAGGGGGCTGAGGATGGAGAATCATAAGTTTGATCAACTTAGCAAGACCCTATCTTAAACAAAAAGGGCTGGAGGGTGCTGGTGTTGTAGCTCAGGGAAAGAGCACTTGCCTAGCATGTATGAGGCACTGGATTCAATCCTTAGCACCACATAAAAATAAAGAAAATAAAGGTATTATGTACACCTACAGCTAAAAATATATTAAAAAAAAAAAAAAAAAGGATATAGCTCAGTGGTAGAATGCCCCAGGTGTAGTCACCAGTAGGTGAAGTTAAGAATATACAACTGACATATGCATGGAGAAAAAAACCACTATACTATAGGCAAAAATGAATCAAGAGTCCTACTTCACACCACACAGAAAAGTTAATGCAAAATGAATCATAGACCTAAACGTAAGAGCTAAATAAAACTTTTAAGAGAAAAAACAAGCATAAATCTCCACAACCTGGCCCTGGTTTCCTAAAGATGAAACTAATAATACAAGTGACAAAAGGAAATAAACGCTTTTTGGCTGGAAACATAGTTCAGTGGCAAAGCACTTGCATCGAAGGCACAAGGCCCTGGTTCAACTTCTACTACTGAGGGAGAAATAAAGACAAAATTTTAAACTTTTTCTGGGGGAGGGGCACTTGGTGATAGAACAAGTGCTTAGCATATGTGAGGCCCTGTATTCAATCCTCAGCACCACAAAAATAAAGAGAAACAGAAGCCAGAAAAAAATTTAGGGAGGGCACAGCATCCCTAACAACCAGCCCAGAGCAGATTTGTGTTCAGTGAATAAGCAACCTCAAGCTCATAAGGTCCAACAAATCCTCTCTTGAAAACCATGTTAACAAAGTACTGGGCCTAATCCAAGGCTGTCTTGGGGATTGTTCAGGACAGGTCCTGCAAGGTCATGGATTTGATCACTTGGAGTCCCCAGTCCCTAGAACAATACTTACTTTTCCCCAGCAACTTTCCGCACTAATTTAGCTTCTGTCCCGTTCACTTCCAGGTCCCAACCACCAGACATCTTGGGGAGGGACTTATGCTTCTGGATTTTCTTTTCTTCCTTGATTTCATCTGTCAGGAATTCTACAAAAGCTTTGTCTCCTAGAAAGCAAATACAGATGATTCAAAATGAGAAAAGTCAATTGGTTTAAATCACACCACAAAGCTTGAGTTTTTCAACCACGACTTCGGGCCTTCCCAAAGTTCCATTTTCAAGAGACTAAGGATAACGGGGCGTGGTGGCACACGCCTGTATCCCAGCGACTCTCGCATGGCTGCAGCAGGACGACCTGAAGTTTGAGGTGAGCCTCCGCAACTCTGCGAGACTGTCTCAAAACAAAAAATGAAAAGGACTGAGGATGTGATAAGGATGTAACACTGTGGTAAAGCGACCCAGGGTACGAGAAAAAAAAAGACTAAGAGAAACTAAGGATAAAAGTATCCTCCAGTATTTAACATTGTTTCCACTTCAACACAAAAACAAAACCACGAAACCCTTGGTGAATGGGGGAGGAGAGTGCGATCACAAGTTCAACCGGCTGGTCGTCAACCAACGGAAAGTGTCCCGGCCCCGCGTGTCTGTTCCGGGCGTTCTCTCCGCGCTGCTCTCTCCCTCCCGGGCCCCCACGATCACGCCCGGGTGCGCGAACCTCACCTTCCGTGTGCAGCGCGCCGCAGCCGCAGCCGCAGCCGCAGGGCGCGGGAGGCTGCAGGAGGCCGGGCCGCCGCTCCGACCCGGCTCGCACGCAGAGCAGTCCGAAGGGCCGGACGCACGGCCGCGGCGCCGGCTGCAGCAGTTGCCGGAGCGGAGGGGCAGGCGTGACGGTGCGGAGGCCGGCGACGGCGGCGCCCAGGGCTCGGGGAACACAGCGCAGCAGAGGCAGCATCCCGAGAGAGCGAGCAGACACGTGCGAGAGCAAAGGACAACCCCGGCCAAGGCCCCCGTGACCTAACGCGGCGCCGGAAGCCCCGCCCTCTCCCCGGAGTGTTTCCGACTTCTGCGCCCTGAAGACCGAAGGCAACGGGACGGGATCGCGCCCTCTGCTGGGGACCTCCGGTGAGGCCCCCGGGGGAGTCCTTGCTTTGGAGCAGTTGTTCTCAGGCGACTTTGCCCTGTCTCTATCCACTGGCTGCTTACTCTTCAACTTCCTATGTACTGTTCTCAAACCATGCCAGACTTTCTGACTTCGTGGAACACGCTCTTGTCGCTTCAACTCCCACCACCCCAGTCTCCGAAGTTACCTCCCTTAAGTGGCCTTCCTGGAACTTCATCCTTTTTACCAGAACTCACCCAACATCTTTGCTGCTTCTCCTTTCAACACAATCCTTTTGGCAGCAGCACTGTACCTGGCAGCTTCACCTCACCCACCCCAGATGATGACATCCTCAAGGGCAGGATCCATGATTAATTTCAGTGACCATTCTCCGCAGCATATCCAACTTTGCATCTTAACTCTAATGGAACATTTTTCTGGGGGCAAGAAGCCGTGGCTTAAATCAGATTTAGGTAAGAACCAGTGATCCACAGGCATATATATGGCCACGTATGTAATTTCAGCTACAAAATGGAGACCAGCCTGGGCAATTTAGCAAGCCCCTGTCTCAAAATAAAATATTAAAAGCGGCTGGGGATGTGGCTCATAGATAGAGTTCTTCTGGATTCAATCCTCACTACTGTCACAAAAGCTCCTTTTGTAATAAACTTTTTTCTGACTCTGCATAAAGTTTTCAGACACATTTTTAATTTTACCAAATGAGAGCAAGTACAGTTAGAAACATGAATACTAATAGAGGGTGCTGCTATAATGGTTCATTCTCTGATGAGATTTTTGAAGCACTATATAATGGTATTTAAAACGTCTTTTGGAAGCTGGGCATTAATCCCAGCTATTTGGGAGGCTAAGGTAGAAGGATCTCAAGTTCAGGACCAGCCTGGACAACGTAGATTAATACTATCTCAAAATTTTAAGAAGGGTTGGAGGGCCCCACTACTACTTACAAAAAGAAAAAGGAAAAAAAAAAAAAAACACACACACACACACAATGATCTTACTTCCTAGGAACATGGGATATATACTGTACTAAAAAAATATGGCTTACCAAATAGTGCCAATGAGAAGACTTAATAGTTCCTAAACAGTACCCTGTAAATTAGGGAAAGAAAATCCAACAAAGGAGCCACACACAAAATGTACAAGTTTCATTTTTATGGATTTGATAGTCAAGTGCAAATTTGAGCATTATATACAGAGATGTTTTTATAGTTGTACTGGCTAAGACCAGACTCTCAAAATTCAGCATAAGCTTGAGTCAACTAGATTTCCACCCCCATTAGCTTTTTCTGCAAGTTGTAACAATCTAATCAAATACAGTATAATAAAATTCTTATTTTCTTTATGAATTCCTCTTGCTCAAGCATTGGCATCTTAGATGCATAGCCAGAGTTCTAAGCAGTTCCTGATGGCTGAATTACTTGGATTTATGTACCATAGTAAAATTTAGTTTTATGCACAGTGCAAAAATTTGCTCCCCTTTAGTATCTCTAAATAGTAGAGATGCAGTAGCATTAAGGATTTTCACCAAGGACCTGTGTTTGCAGTCCTTCCCCCTGTAATAGAATGTATTACCTGGGTGTTTCATACTTCATGGTTACTGACAATAGAAGATAAACACCTGATGCATGCAGAGCTGCTTGGAATGGTAATAGTGATTTGTCCATATATGGATTGCACAGATTGGAAAAGAAGCATCACACTATCTGATATTTTACCAATTGAAAGGAGTAGCTTGAGATTATACTGCATTATCATTGTGAAACAGTCAACTTTCTTAAGAAAGTTTAAGTTTAAAGTGCACTGTCCCCTGCAGCTCAATATAAATAACCATTTATTTCTTTGTAGTAATATGTTGAGTCAGAATGGGTTTTCCATCCGATTTAATCCCTGAGCAGCTATGTTAAAAATCAGCTTTTAAAAAAGCCCAATAGAAAAAACTACTCTATTAAAATCCTACCACAATGTTATAGTGATAAACAGGTATCTATATAGAAACATTAAAGCTACTTAGAAGCTCTTTACATTCTTTACTCCTCAGAGAATATACATTTCCAGAAACTGTTCAGGTATTTAAGCTGGACAAAACTCAAGGTTTACTTGACCCCCCAAACTCCTCTATATAGAGATAATTTGTTGAGGAATAAACTACCCCACTCCCCATTGATTACCAGCAATGATGAATGTTTTATTAAAAATACAGTATTTTTAGTCAGGCGCAGTGTCGCACACCTATAATCCCAGTAGCTTTGGAGGCTGAGGCAGGAGGATCACAAATTCAAAGCCAGCCTCAGCAACTCAGCAAGGCTCTAAGCAACTAGAGAGACCCCGTTTCTAAGTAAACTATAAAGAAAGGGCTGAGGATGTGACCAAGACAGAAAACACAAAAACAATATTTCGCTCTGTTTCCTGTTCATCCAGTGAGCTGCTTCCCTATGCCACATACTTCCGCCATGATGTTCGGCCTCACCTGGAGTCCCAAGGAATGGAGCCATCACTGAGACCTCTGAAACCTGAATGGAAGTTCTAAAGATGACTCTTTATCAAGATTTCTCAATATAACTGATTCTGGCAATTCCTGCCTTACCCTGGATGAGGTCAATTATAAAACTCCTATCAAGAATGTCCCAAAAGAAGAATAACACGAAGCTGCTAATAGGTCCAGGAAAACATGAAAAAAAATATGACCCTGGGAAACCAAAAAATAGAACCTTACCTGACAACAGTGATCCTGAGAGTCAAAAGGAAGACATGGTTGAAACCACTCTTGTACAACCAATCAACATACAGAGCAATTACAATCCCTTCTTTTCATCAGTTGGTTCAAAGAGCAGCTGGTTCCAGGACCTTAAGGGCTTTCTTTGCCTCAGGAGGAGCCAGGAAGGTTGCAGCTCTGACTTGAGAACATGTTCAGCAGGAGGAAAACCCCTGTCTATCCCTGAAGTCTGAGGAAGGTCTTTGCCAAAGCTTCTAGAGAAGTTTTTCTTAATTATCCAACAAGGAAGTGCTTGCTTTCTAGAAAGTTCCGAAGTACTTCTTTCAGTGCTTTGGATACAACAGAGAACAAAAACGGACAAAAGATTCCTCTCTCTGGAAGTGTACATTTCTCTGAGACACAGAAAATATTCAATATAAGTTACATGAAATGTTTGGAAATAAGTGTTATTGAAATGAAAGAAGTAAGACAATTTGGAATGTCTTCTCTTGGTAGGAATTAAATGAGGCTAACAAGTCACAAAGAATGATTTCAACAAGAAAAGAAAGGAACTGCAAAGCCCTCTGTAATGCAAAATTCATCATAAATTCTATGAAAATGAAATCACCAGTAGAAAGAAAGAGGAGTGATCCATTTTTAATCCTGAATAAAGTCCTGCAAAAAAAGCCCATTACCAGTGTGACACTGCTGATTGATGGACGGATAGAACTCAAGAGGCCTACAGAGGCAGAAGTAGCATCTCTTTCTTTACAGTAATCTATTCTGATGAAAATCAAACATAATAACTTAAAGGTAAAAAATAAAATAAAACTGATATGTGCAGAGGAAGCTGTGTAGATGAAACGGGAGAGGGGGACATCAATTCTATGACATCCTTTGTCTTGGGCTGGCCCGCAGTGAACAACTTGGCCACTTGTAGATCTCCAGAGCAAAAGGACAAATGGCTTTCTCTCCTACATCAATCTGAAGAAAGAGAAGGACTATCCAGAGGATTCCCATTAAAATATTCACCAGGAACATTGGGAATTGTGTCTATGAAAGTGTTTGTAAGCCAGAAAATTAAATTCAGAATTCTTGAATAAGGCAGAAAAGCTCATGGTTAAAAAGAGAGACAATCAGGCAGGGAGAGAGTGCACATGCTATGGAAGTAAGTGTGTAGAAATATCATGAGRAGCTGGGCATGGTGGATCACACCTGTAATCCCAGGAAGCTCAGGAAGCTGAGGCAGGAGGACCATGAGTTCAAAGCCAGCCTCAGCAACTTAGTGAGGCCCTCAACAACTGAGAACCCATCTCTAAATAAAATATAAAAAAAGGCTGGGGATGTAGCTCAGAGGTTAAGTGACCCTGGGTTCAATTTCGGGTACCCCCCCCCAAAAAAAAGAAATATCACGAGGGTGAAACATTTTCTAGGGTGTGTGTTATCTTTGTGTGTATAAAAAGTAAACTAAAAGAAATGGAACAAGAGAAATTAGTATTGATTCAGGTATTTAACATTTATGCTTAGAAAGATTATTGCTTGTCAGATGTATCTTTCTTCCCTCTGATGTGAATGTTTCTCTCAGACCTTTTCAAGAGAAAATGGAGAGGCTTAAAGTTACTTCCACAGGGAGGGATTCCCTATTAGCATAAAGCAAGTGTCTCCAGACCTGTCACTTCTTGAAAGTGGTTTTGAAAAGTTCTTCATGCTTTCAGATTTTCTAGTTTGAGTATTTCCAGATAAAAAGTGGATGATCTGGGATAGAGAATATTTTTAATGGATTAGATTGTTTATATCATATCAATATCATATTGTCAAAGATTAAATATTTTACTCAAGTTATTATGTATAATTTTTTGACTGAAGTTGTCGTACAACAGCAAAGATTTTATCAATGAGGAAAAGATGGAAACATTTTTATAATACTATCAATTGTCATACTTCACAGCAGCTCAAGATCACAAGGAACAGTTTTGTTTGTGGAAAATATGTAGAGCAAAAATGTTACAGCTCAATAAAAATAAAAGATTATACAAAAGTTCTGACCAAAAAAAGCACAATATTTTCTTCTACCAAGTCACGCTAAACATCCTAGCCCCCTCTTATGAATGATAAAAATATACTTAAAAAGAAAACTTTCTGGAGAACTTTTCCGGAAGTCAGTAATGGTAAGAACAAGCTGATTTGTGGAAGAACAAGTTCAAGTTTAAGAATTCTCTACAATAAGGTCCACAGGAACTGTCAGATTCCATTTGACATAACTGTAACCATTTCTAACAGACATAAATACCTAGACAACCCTAAATACGGGCTAAAAAGTCAAATTGCTCAGACTACAGCTAATTTTATAAATAAAGACCATGCCAGATTAAATTTAGACAACTGTGGACCAATGAGACCCTTTAATGGAGGTGAGCAATCAGGCGACAGTCTGAAAAGAGCTCATGGGACCCCGATTGAAGAGACTGCCCACTTTCTTTGAAGAAGCTGGTAGGCAGTTTGGCCCCCTGCTTAATGGACTGTGCAATTCACTATGTAAAGTAATGACAAAATTGCATTTTGGAACAATTAAGCACAACTTTTATCATGCTTAATCTTGGTTGCTTCTAGGTCCAAGCATTCTCTGGGGAAAGATTATTTGCTTTTGATATAAACTAGCTAATAAGAACATTTAGTCTTTCCCCAGTAGGAAGAGACTGTGTAGATCCTCAAATTCCCTCTGACAAATGTAGACAATGAAGGTTAGAGACATCTGCAAAGCCAGATGTCCCCATGTCCCTATAAAGGAAAAAAGACAGAAAATCAACAAGATACAAGACTATAACAGCCAGTCGTGGTGAATGGGAGGAGTAGATGCCCTCTGGGTTCTCACTGACCATGAACCTCTTCCTTCCCTCTTACCCCCAGCACCTCTGACCAGGGGCCCTGCCCACAGAGAAACAGTTGAAACAGAGCACAGAATTACTCTTCATGTGCACACATTTATAGGTGCTCAGTTAAAGAGAAAAATGACAACTGGGTGTGTAAGGAGACTACTACACCAACAGGTTGGTTTCTTGTGTCTACATCTGACATGATTCAGAAGGTACAATCAACTTTCACCCAGGTAACTTACATGTCTCCTGAAAGCACTGATGGGGACATGCGCCAAGGGCCAAGAGACTCCTTCACTGATCTCTGGTTCGAGATGGGCAAAGACTAGTCTGCACCCTGAGACATGAGGCTCAGTAGGGATGGCCATCCCAGGAGATAAGAGACAACAGCACCTCCCTCTTGAAACTTCTACAGAAGTCAATTTCTTATGTTTCTACTTTAAAGCTGTATAAAGAAAGACATTAAATAGAATCAAGGACAACATCGAAGCTCCATGCCTGTCAGTCACAAGAACTCAGGGTATCTTGTTGTACTTAAGTCACATCAGATAGAAAACAGTAACATTATGCATAATGGCTCATAATTTACTATGTGTGTATCTGTATCAGGCAAAGCTCTAGGTAATTTTCCATTCATTTTCTCTCAACTTCATGACACCAATCTTATAAGTTAGTATGATTATTATCTCCAATTGAGGCTCACGAATTAACTAAGTTACCCAAAGTCACCCACCATGGACCAAAAGCATAATTCTGAAATGCCCAAGGTTGAAATGATATGTACACATCTACACAGTTCAGTCTGAGGAGTTTCAGCAAAGATGATTTCAAGCCTCTGGAGATTAGGCGCATATAGCTGTGCTGAAACTCACAGCTTCTCTAGGTGCCAGCCTGGGAGTCTGCCACGAGGCCACTGTGGTCCAAGCTCCAGACACAGCCACAGTGCCACAGCCTGGGGCAGCTCAGTTTCTGGTGGTTCTCAGCTTCCTCCTGAAGTACTCAGGGGCAGCCTCATACAGCCACTCAGCATCCACGACGCAGAGGTCTCTCATGTAGCACTTGTTGGTGTACAGCAGCTCAGTGTATACGACGCAGGCTGGCTTGCAGTGGAAGAGGACAGATGAGGGATGGATGGCCACTGGCTGGTGGGTGTCCGTGGTGGCATAGGTACCATCAGGCTGGAGCTCAGCAGTGCTCATAAAGAGACTGTGAGCCAAGCAGCGGCGGATGCTCTCCATGTCTCCTCGCGATGACATGACTGGCATTGACATCTGTTTCAGGAGATATGGAGAGATGGAAAGACCCCAAACATAAACACTGCTCAACATTACACAAGTGCACTGGAACAACGGGACCTAAAATGCAGCATCCTGCTAAGTCTGTCAAAACACATTTTGACATTCTACGGTGGTTGACTCAATGGCCTTAAGCATCAGCACGGGCAGGGGATGAAGGCACAGTGCAAGAGAAGACTGAGAACAGAAATATTTGCCAGGGAGCATTCATGCAATAACCAGACCACAGGCAGGTCCATCAGGTCATCCCTGGAAGGAAAAGCCTTTCCCTTTCATTTTGACCACATCATCTAATGCGCACTCACATACTGCTGCCAAATTAATCTTCCTGAAGCACAACTCCAGTCTCTCTTCATTCACTCAAAACCCTTAGTGTCTTTATTGCTGTTGGCAAAAAGTGCAAAGTTCCTATGATAAAGCTGAAGATGAGCCACTGCCAGGCCACCCCATCAGTTCTTGGCCCCACCCCTCTTCTGCAGACATTCTCTATAATCAATAGTCTTTTCTTCTCTAGATCCATGCATTGACTCCTAGCTGTTGGCCCCTGCATATGCTGCTCCTACTGGAAATGCTGCCCTCATCTCTGCAGTGAGAATGTCAGTCATCAGTCAATGTCCTTGCTCTGTGCCCTTGCTGAGTGGGTAGTGGAACCTTGTACCACTGGTTATGGCTCAACAGACCAGTGGTGGACACTTACTTACCTGACCTAGGCTGGCATGTTTAGGTCTAAAATAGGAGATCTAATCAATCTGTCAGGCTCCTGCTCACCGACCCCCGGGTGGGTAGGCCATGTAAAACCATCATGTGCATGTGGAGGCAGAAGTGAGAAGCAGAAACAAAGCAAGCAGACAGAACAAGAGAACTAGCGACTCCTGGTGGCTTGTTCCAATCGCTTATTCCAGTCTCTTGTGAAGTATGACTACTTCCTGTCCTCTTCATCCTTTGAAACATCCCCCATTTTCCTCAAGGGCTTTTGTTTTTGGCAATCAGCTGTTCCTTTTTATTTTTTTTCCCTATTGTCCTGTGATCAAACCCAGAGTTCTCATACATGCTAAGCAAGTGGTCTCCCACTGAGCTACATTCCCAGCCTTTTCTTTTAAATTTTATTTTGCAACAGGGTCTTGATAAATTGGCCTTGAACTTATGATCCTCTTAACATGGACTCCTGAGTAGCTGGGATTACAGGTATGTGCTGGCCAGCTTATTTCTTGCCTTTATCTCATCTGTCAAGATGGAGCTCAAGGTGTAGCTTAATGGTAAAACATTTGCCTAGCATGCATAAGGCCCTAGGTTCCATCCCAAGCATAGCAAACAAACAAAGTTTATAAATCTGAACATAAACTATATGTACATTTCTCTCTCTCTCTCTCTCTCTCTCACACACACACACACACACACACACACACACACACACATACAGTAACTGTAAAAAATGAAATAATTTAAAAAATAGTGTTATTATGAAGTAGAACAAAATAGTAAAAGGTAGAATTATGGGTAATTCTTACTTCTTACTTAGTTTTAAATTTTTTTACAATGAGAATTCCTTTTATAATCACTAGTGATAGGCAACTTAAAATATTACCCTAGAAAAGACTGACAGGTTAGTTCCCCAAAGAGCATCAGGAAGAGACAATACCTTTAGGCAGATTTCCCTCAGTTGTGCTCTCACTTCAGCTACTAACAGCATATTCTTGCTGTTCACAAAATTCTCTTTGCACCAGTCCTGAATAGGAGAAAAAGAAATATCACAATCCTCTCGTTTCTACACTGAAAAAGAATGTGTGAGTGTGTGTATGTAAATAAAACTTTGAGAACACAGTTGAATTCAGAGGGAAAATTTCCAGTGTCAAAAAGGACTCTCAGAAAACCTCTTGCCAGGCACAGTGGCACATGCCTATAATCACAGCAACTTAGGAGGCTGAAGCAAAGATGATCACAACTTCAAAGGCCATTTAGTGAGATCCCATCTCAAAATAAAAAAATCAAGGGCCGAGGTTGTGGTTCAGTGGTAGAGCACTTCAACTCAGAAGGCGTAGGGAGAACATCACAAGTTGGAGGCCAGCTTCAGCACGAGTGAGGCCCTGGGTTTGATCCTCAGCACCACATAAAAATGAATAAAATAAAGGTATTATGACCAACTACAACTAAAATATAAAGATTTTTAAAAATAAATAAAAAGGGCTGGGAATACAGTTCAGAGGTAAAGTGCCCCTAGTATAAATCCCCAGTAGCACCAAAAAAATAAAAAATAAATAAATTAATAGTTTAAAGAGAAACTAAAATATTCCTTATTTCAATTCACCATGAGAAAAGCGATAGACTGATATATTTTGCATCATACCCTATAGAATATTAGTACCTCCAGAATATATTTGTAAAAAACAACCCAGGAGGAAAATGGACAAAGGATATGAACTGATTGAACTCACAGAAGAGGGAATATAAACACCCAATAAACTTATGTGAGAAAGTTGAGTCTCTTGAGGAATCATGGCAATGAAGTTTAGAATAACTGAGATACAATTTCACATCCATCAACTAGGTGAAAATTGAAGTTATTTCAACTTAGAATTGGAGAGGATGGTGGAAATGGAAACTCTTATACAGAATGAGGGACCACAGACAATTTGAGAGAACCACTTTCCAACCTGGTAAAACTGAACTACAGCTATCCCAAGGCCTGGCAGATACACTCTTAGGTGTTGATCCCAGTGTGCATAGGGAGACCTGTACCAGATAGTCACTCAGTGTTGTAAGTAGAAAGAAGCTGCCAAAGGATAGTGTAAGAAAATATTTATGTTTAGCGTATACAATGTGGATAGATATGAAATACAGTCGCCCATATGGGAAATACACACCAGCTATAGGACAGTGCTCAATAAGGGAGGAAAAACCTGGCGTTTTTACTGCATCAGCAATATTTTGTTTGCTTAAGAATAAATTAAAGCACTGGTGTAGCAGTGAATACCTGTAATCTCAGGAGCTCTGGAGGCTGAGGCAAAAGGATCACAAGGAACCTCAGCAACTTCATGAGGCCCTAAGTAACTTAGGAAGACCCTGTCTCAAAATAAAATATAAAAAAAGGCTAGGGATACGGCTTATAGATAAAGGATCCCTGGGTCCAATCCCTGGCACAAAAATAAATAAATAAATAAATAGAACTAAGGTACACATACAAAAAAGTATAGAAATGTTAAAGCTGAATGGTGTTTTGTTTTTTGTTTTTTTTTGTAGTTGTAGATGGAGAGAAGGCATTTATTTTATTTATTTTTAAGTAGTGCTGAGGATCAAACCCAGTGCCTCATGCATGCTAGGCAAGCGCTCTACCACTGAGCTATAGCCCCAGCCCTGAGTGGTGGCATTTTTTTAAAGTAAAAATGTGCACGCTATGGCATAATTACAGATTTTACTAATATACAAGAGAACATATTGTCATTTTCTATCTTGGTACAAGGAACTGAAATATCACACTAGCAAAAACTACTGTGAAGAAAGTTTGAGGTAGGTGAGGGGAAAAAACATTTTGTGATTGCTGTCATCTAGATATGGTATGAACGTTTCCTAAAGCTTCTCTCCCCTTGAATCAAAGTGTGAAATATGATATATCAAGAATTATGTAATGTTTTGAACAACTAACAACAACAAAAAAAAATTAAAAAAAAAAAAAAAAGGCTTCTCAACTCAGAAGGCTTAGGCAGGAACATCACAAGTCGGAGGCCAGCTTCAGCAACTTAGCAAGATCCTGTCTTAAAAAGTAAAAAGGTATGGGGATATAGCTCAGTGGTAAAGCTTCCATAGGTTCAACCTCTAGTATCAAAACAAAAAAGAAATGAAAGAAATTTAATCCTCATTGTGAGGTTCAACAAGTAGAAACTTAATCCAATTATGATGTTTACAGGTGKGGCCTCTGGAAAGTGGCTAGGTTTAGATAAAGCCACTAGATCGAATCCCTCATCATTGAATCCTTTCTATGTGATATCTTCTATGTGATGCTCTGTGCCTTCTCAGGGTTCTGCTAGAAGACTACCACAAGATGAGGCCCATAGATCTGGCACTTCCAGAACTGTGAGCCCAAATAAACCTCTTTCTTAATAAACAAATTAGTCTGCCTCAGGTACTATGTTATGGTAACAAAAAACAAACTAATAAAATAGCTACAAAATTGAAGCACCAAACACATAACTGATTTGGTCCACATCAAGTACAAATTAAACACAAGCAGAACAAAGTCCACAATTAAATTTATTTCCAGGTGATATCCCACTACTCAGACATTTCCGAAATAAAATCTGGCATTCTTTGTGTGGCTCTTCAGATGATCTAGCCAAAAAGGGAAGGGGCATGCCTATAACCCAGTAACTTGGGAAGCTGAGAAAGGGAATCACAAAAAAAAAGACCACTCTTGGAAATTCAGATATCTTTTGTCTCAAAATAAAAAATAAAAGGCCAGGAGTGTGTTGCTGGGCACGATGGTGCACGTCTGTAATCCCAACAGCCTGGGAGGCTGAGGCAGGAGAATAGTGAGTTCAAAGCCAGCCTCAGCAATCTAGCAAGGCCCTGAGCAATTCAGTGAGATCCTATCTCTTTAAATAAAATACAAAAAAGGGCTGGGGATATTGCTCAGTGGTTACATGCCCTGGGTTCAAACCCCAGCAGTGAAATAGGAAAAAAAATATATATGCCTGAAAAAAGGAGTTAGCATTTGAGAAAAGGAACAAAACAAGGCTCACCTTATTTCCACCTATGTTTTTGAAAGTCCGATAAATATTGAGCAGGGTGATGTGATCCCCCTCGCTGGATATGAACTTCTTCCGGACACCCTGCACTTCATCCCGCCGGGCAGGAGGATTATAGAGAACACTGTCCACAGACAGCAGGGAAACAATGGTCAGAATTTCTTCTGTACAGTGGAATTTGGGGGATAGAAGGATGGTCTGAAAATCAAAATTAAAAATGTATAAACCAACTATTTTCCTAGCTTCTGAATACAGTTTTTCTGTATACTCTTTTTAGCTTTTATTCAAAGGAATTAAAGGGCAAGGTCTCTAAAACCATAACTTTATATGTAAAGTCATGTCATTTTACATTTTTGTAAAAGGGATGACTGCCTTCCCTGACTAATTCCAAATCCCTGTGGGCAGGGCTCATGACTTATATGCCTTTGAATCCCACACACAACATTATACAAAAGTAGGGGTTAGTAATTATTTAAGAGAACAAGTGAGATTAGAACCACAGGGCTCAATTGTTTGCTTTGGGATAGCTAACCTGTAACAGACAGAAAAGGGACTGAGGAGAAGATATCATTTACTTTGGCAAATTTGGGCTCTAAAGGAAATGCTGCCATCTTTCTTCCAATTGGAGTCAGTGTAAGCTGGTCATCCTTATGTTCAAGAGCACCTAACAGGTCCAGTTGGGCAATGGCCGCCTGAATGTGATCTGAAGAAACAGAGACATAAAAAGGACCAAAATTCCAAAAAGAAGTCACAGCTAGTTCAGTACTTCTAGGAGCTTTTGACAACTCCACACCAAATAACAGCAAAACCCACCCAACCACTGCCCAGCACACTATTCACAGCTGTTAATGACACCACTAAAAGCCAAAAACTTACAAATAAAATATGGGAGGGCAGTTGTTCTGAGGGAGTGGGAAAGAGGCGGAAGCAGCCAAGTGGGGTCCCTGGGGGTTCAATGGCACCGGTAACAGCGACACAGACATTGGTTTTATTGCTCCTTACACCTTATACATATCATCCTTTGTAGAAATTTAGCAGTGAAAAGAAAAACTCAAGTGTAGAACAGTACATGATATGTGTTGCTATGTGTTTTTTTATTTCTGTGATTTTTTTTCTTTTTTTTTAAACAGTGCTGGGGCTACATCCATGCTCCTCCATGGAGCTATATCCCAGCCCATTCACCTTATTTATTTACTTATGAATTATTTTATTTATGATACTGGGGATTGAACCCAGGGGCACTTAACCATTAAGCCACATCCCCAGCTCTTTTTACTTTTTTATGTTGAGACAGGGTTTCCCTAAGTTGCTTAGAAGCTTTACCAAGTTGCTGAGGTGGCCTTTGAACTTGCGATTACCCCACCTCAGCCTCCTGAGCTGCTAGGATTACAGACATGTGCCACTGCCCCCAACTAGTCCTTTTATTTTTGACACAAGGTCTTAATAAGTTGCCCAGTCTGGCTTTGCACTTCCTACCCTCTTGCCTGGGATTATAGGTGTGTGCCACCTGCCTGGCAGGGCTATGGGTTATTTTTAAAGAGACTGTGCATTCTTGTATATGCATACATTTTCTGAAGAAGACAACTAGAAAATGAACACAACAGCTGCTCTAGGAAAGGAAAACTAAGAACTTGAGGATCAGAGTGTGACCCTTCATAACCATCAAAATTGTTTATATTTTCTCTTTCTTTCTTTTCTATGATTGCATTTTTTTTTTATTGTAAAAAGAGGAAAATCAAGCCAGGCACAGTGGTGCACACCTGAAATCCCAGCAACCCAGGAGGCTGAGAAAAGAGGATCACAAGTTCTGGGTGGGCCTCAGTAATTTAGCAAGGCCTTAAGCAACTTAGCAAGACCCTGTCTCAAATAAAAATAAATAAATAAAAAGGTTTGGAGATGTAACTCTGTGATAAAGCTGCCCTGGGTTCCATTCCAAACAACAAAATAAATAAAAGGACAATAGAGTAGTGATGTGATGTCATATGCCACAAGCTACAATCATTAGGACTCTAGTTGTTATTTTCTTCCACCATGGGGAGATTACCTACAAAGGGCAGGGGACAATCAAATTCCAATTTAAAGCCAAGAAATTTGATCTTTGCTGTCCTTTTGCATACACAAGCACAATTCATTTTTGTAGTATCCCATGGATTACTCTTAATGACCTTCACTGGTTCCAGAGGTCAAGTCCCCTGACTGTAAGTCCCTGCATGATGGGTCTGACAGCACAGAATCTGTCATTTCATGATTTTGAGACCCTTCTCTGAAAGACAACATTGTTATTCAACAAGTTAAATTAGCAAAAGGAGATGATGGAAATACTTGTTTTTCTTCCCAAATACTTGTTTTGGGGAAGAGTACACTTGTTAGCTACTCATTTACCTTCTGTCACACTGAGGACTTCACTTACCTGGAGATGGCTTGGACACGAAGTCAAAGGTGAGCACATTTGGGACTTTCATAGCTAGAAGCTGAAGCATCACACTCGCCAGGTTACACCTGTGAAGAGTACGAGACCAGGATCGTTACTCATCCCTGACCCCTAGCAAGTCAGTCAGAACCATTGACTGAAGAGCATTAACAAAAACCACAGCTCTGGAAAACAAGCCAACAGGAAACAGTGACACGGGGGCAGTCAGCAAGGGTGCAAGCGTGCCTTGAACCGACCTCTGGATCTCTGGCACAGTCATCTTCTCAAACTTCTCAAACTCCTCTTCTGTGTACAGCCGGTAACAGATGCCACTGTCCTCTCTGCCAGCCCTCCCTGTGCGCTGCCAGGCCTGAGTCTTTGACACACGCTGCACAGCTAACACCTCGAGACCACTGTCTAGAGGGAGAATGGGACTCATCAGTGCTTTGCTCATCACATAAAAAAACTGTTTCCACAGTGATGACAAAAAGTAACAGTCCTCAGAATACCAGTGAGCCTTTTGCAATACGGGGATTCAGAAAAAATCAAGGCTAAATGTGAAAGCACAAAACTAGATTGCTCCAGTGCTTTGGTCCCACAGTGAAAAAGGGCCTTGCAATGAGCCCTGTGTAAATCCGTTATGAAAATATCAGAAAAGCCTCATGCTCCTAGGAGGGGCCTGAAGAGTAATTTCAGAAGTCATGGATTAGATCGCAAGATAGTCAACCACCCTAGTATGCTTGGGACTGAAGGTTTCTAGGATATAAGACTTTTTTTGGTACTGGGGACTGAACCCAGGGGTGCTTAACCAGTGATCCACATCCATAGCCTTTTAAATTTTTTACTTTGAAACAGGGCCTCACTAAATTGTTGAGGCTGGCTTTGAACTTGTGATCCTTCTGCCTCTTGAGCCACTGGGATTACAGGCATGTGTCACTGCACCCAGTGGATATGGGAATTTTGATGCTAACACTGAGACAGCTTCTAGCAAGCTAGGAACGCTGGTCTTACTATTGATCGATGACTCAGAAAGTGAATGCCTCAAGTCACTAGTGTGCTTTTTCTCTTTGTTGTTTTTTTGGTACCTGGGATTGAACTCAGGGGCACTCAACCACTGAGCCACATCCCCAGCCCTATTTTATATTTTATTTAGAGACAGGGTCTCACTGAGTTGCTTAGTGCCTCGCCTTTGCTGAGGCTGGCTTTGAACTCACAATCCTCCTGCCTCAGCCTCCTGAGCTGCTGGGATTACAGGTGTGCACCATCACGCCTGACTATCCTCTGTTTTCTGTGAGAAAACAGGTCATGTGAAGTTTGTTTCCTAGGAATAAATGACATTAAAATTTTTCCTTTTGGTAGTGGGGATTAAACCAGCTTTACCATTGATACATCTACACCCTTTTATTGCTTGGATTACAGACATGAACCAGCTGCCTGGCTAACATCTGTTCTGGACAAAGGTGTACTCTGTGCCAGGCCATGAAAACCCACACCATTTCACATATGCTGTCTCTAGGAAATCTACACGACAGTCAGCCCCACCAGTGGCTACAGAGCACTTCAATTAAATACTGGGGAGTGGTAATTTCAGCTGAAACAGAAATGAGCAAAAATAACTTCCAGCAAGTCTCCCACTGCATATTTGTAGGAGACAGATGGTGGTCCACCTGCTGCCCCTTACCCCAGATTAAAGGATCCTTCTGCTTCCTCGGAAACCTGGGAGCACACACCAGCCATACACAAAATATTATTTCTCATAAGAGCCTTTGATTGCTAACAGATTGTCTGTGGTCTTCCAGCAATCATTCTTGCCCAACTTCCAGTGGGCTTTCAAATGTTCTGCCCAAGACTCTGACCATGTTCTTAGGTTTGCTAAATGTGGGCTCCTTTCCTGTCTTGACTTCTTGTCTCCTATACCTGCATTAGGTCTGTCTCCTTTTTGGACTTGATTTCTAGACTATCTCACTTATGGTCCCTGCCATTCAAATCGTAGTTACTAATAAACATGAAATGCTCACTTGGGGAAAATTGTGGGACTAGTTTCAATGGTTGCTCACTATATACAGGAGAGACATTCATGAGCTACAAATTCTCACCAGGGTTATACTTCTTTGCTTTAACCATGCCCGTGTCAACTACATATTTTATTCCTGTAATGGTTATGGAGGTTTCAGCGATGTTGGTTGAAATGATCACTTTGCGATAGCCCTAAAAGGAGGAAGAAAACCAAAAAGCCACATGACACATATATGATTCAGAAGTTTAAAACATATTCTCACCATTAATTTCCACCATCACTCACGACAGAGAAAAGATGACTTCATTATTAATGGTGGTCATCAGTATTAATAGTTGGTCATTAAACTAGACAGGGATGGGAAGGCAGAAAATGACACTGCAGTTCTAAAGATTAACTTGAGGTGATGAGATGTAATGGGACAAGCACAAGATTCAAAAACAATTAGATGAGACCTGGAATCCTGGCCTTGCCAATTTCATATGTGCCCAGTGAGCACTGCCTACTTCCCCTCTGGGGCCTCAATACTCCTGTAGGAGCCTGAATGACGGGAGTGCACATGAGCATCAGCACTGTACCTGGCACAGCAGAGGCACATAATAAACCATAATATGGACAAACTGTGATTTATACTAGCCCTTACAAGAGTCACTCACGTACCTTTCATCTTGGCCTTTGTACTTTCCCTCATCCCCTAAAAACTGTTTCCTTGTTCTTCTCAGAGGACAGTTCCACCTGTAGCTGTGCAATATATATCTGTATTTTCTCAACTAGCTCACTGATGCCTGGACAACCCCTCCCACGTACCTTATCTGGAGCCCAGTGAAAGGCACATGCGCCCCACTGGTGGATCTGACTGGGTGCCCAGGGATGGAGCTGGACAGAAGCAGGAACTCACCTTAGGGGCCCCTTGGAAGACTCGGAGCTGCTGTGCATAGGGCAAGGAGGCATACAGAGGGAGGACCAACATCCCAGGGCAGCCATCAGGGAGGTGTTTTGCGATGTCTCGGCAAGTCTTGCTCATTGCTTCAATCTCCTCCTGACCAGTAAGGAACACTAGTATGTCCTGAGAAGAAGGGGCTTCCTTTTAAAAAAGAGGGGAAAAAAATGATGTTTACTGATAACATTTCACAAAGTGTAGAGATGTAAGAAGCCTAAATGTTGATAGCTCCCTGGGAGAAGAGTTTTACCAGCAACACACAGAACCGTAACAGGTGTGAGTTAATCAGCTATGTTTAGAAACCAGCCAAGGACATTTTGAAGGAAAATTACCAGGTTGCTTTTTTGAAGGGACAATACCAGGGAAAGTACAATCAGGCAAGAAAATAAAATCTACATAAAGCTGCCTTCCTTTCCCAAACATCTTAAAAGATGAAACTGATAAAACAGAAGGCAACTTAAGGAAATCCTCATCAATGAAAGTCTCCAGAAGCAATCATGCTGGAAAAGGAGTACTTATTCAATGATGCCATCATATACCAAAAAGGTATCCCATAGCTGGGCATGGTGGCACATGCCTATAATCTCAGTGACTCAGGAGGCTGAGGCAGGAGGTTCACAAATTCAAGGCCAGCCTCGAAACTTAGCTAGGCCCTAAGTAACTGAGCAAGACCTAATCTCCCTCCACCAAAAAAAGAAATAAGAAAGAGCTGGGGATATAGCTCAGTGGTAAGCACCCGGGGTCCAATCCCCAATACCAGAAAAAAAAAAGGACCCTATATAACTGCTTGAGACACTGAGGTTAACTGGGTTGTTCACCTTCAAAGAGAATGATCAAGTAAATGATATGCCCATTTACCTGATTTTTCTTTGACATCTGTTCAATCAGACAGATTATACATATGGCAAAATAACTGAAAAATATTTAGCAATAATCATGTGCGTACGTATGTGTATACAGTTGGCCCTCCACATCCTCAGGGTTCACATCCACAGATTCAAACACCTATAGATCTGACCCAGTTATCCCACTCCTTGGTATACACCCAAACGACTTAAATCAGCACACTACAGTAATATAGCCATATTAATGTTTATAGCAGCTGAATTCACAATAGCAAAGCTATGGAACCAACCTAGGTGCCCTTCAACAGATGAAGGGATAAAGAAAATGTGGTATGCTGGGCATGGAGGTGCATGCCCCTAATCCTAGTAGCACAGGAAGTTGAGGTCCTACGCAAGACCCTGTTTCTAAATAAAATATTTTTAAAAAGGGCTGGGAGCCAGGTGTGGTGGTACACACCCATAATCCCAACAGCTCAGGAGGCTGAGGCAGGAGGATTGCATGTTCAAAGCCAGCCTCAGCAATAGCAAGGTGCTAAGCAACTCAGTGAGACCCTAAGTAAAATACAAAATAGGGCTGGGGATGTGGCTCAGTGGTTGAGTGTTCCCAAGTTCAAGCCCCAGTACATGTCCCTCCTGCCAAAAAACTGCAGGTGGCTGGGGATGTGGCTCAGTGGTTAAGCACCCTTATGTTCAATCTCCTGTAACCAAAAAAAAATGTGGTGCATACACACCAATGGAATATTTCTCAGCTGTAACGAAGAATGAAATTAAGACATTTGCCAGAAAGTTGATGAAACTGGAAACTATCTTGTTAAGTGAAATAAGCCAGTACCAAAAACCCAAGGCTGAATATTCTCTCTTGATATGTGAATGTTAACACACAATAAGTGAGGATGGGGAGTAGAAGTTCATTGAATTAGACAAAGGGGAGAGGAGTTACAATTAGAAAAGAATAGAATGAATCACACATAACTTTCCTATGTTCATATATGAATACATGAACAATGAAACTCCACATCATGTACAACCACAAGAATGGGATCCTAATTAGAATAAGTTATATTCAATGTACGTATGTCAAAATACACATTAATACAATATACATCTAAAAAAAATTTTTAAAAATTTTAAACTATTTAAAAAAACTAAGTCTGTATTAAACAGACTTCTTGTCATTATTTGCTAAACAATCTAACAATTATTTGCATAGCATTTACATAGTACTAAGTATTATAAGTAATACAGAGATGGTTTAAATTATGCAGGATGATATGTGTAGATTATATGCAAATACCATGACATTTTATAAAGAACTAGAGTATTCTCAAATTTTGGTATCCAAGGGGGGGTCCTGGAACTAACCCCCACTTTGAATGTTGAAGGATGAGTACATACTTAAGGACATATACACATTCATATATTTATATGTGTGTGTATTTTTTAACTTATGGGGTACTAGGGGTTGAACCCAAGGTACTTTACCACTGAACTACTTCCCCAACCCTTTTTATTTTTTATTCTGAGATAGGGTCTCACTAAGTTGTTTAGGGCCTCACTAATTTGTTGAGGCTGGCCTCAAACTTGCCATCTTCCTACCTCAGGTTCCCGAGTCACTGAGATTTCAGGCGTGCACCACTACAACCAGCTCTTGTGTGTATTCTTTTGAGCCTAATATGGATAGGACAAATTTCAGAAGTATATACAGACAGARTAAAGTGTAAAACAGTCAAAACTTTATCAGTAGCAGAATTCATCAAAGCTACTATATACCCTGAATGTACCAGTAGCCACCATTCATGAAAAATCCATCATTTCAAGTTTGCTTTTGGCAGTTAAACAAGGCGGACTGACCTTTTCTCTCTCCCAAATACCATCAAATTGACAGTAAGGGTCACTGTGCCAAAATGGCACAACAATGAGATGAGTGTGTTCAACTAAGTTTTGAAAGATGGAAGAGATGGGGGGGGAGACACTGAATGATAGGAATAGGAAGCTGTGTCCTGGGTGCCTACTAAGGGGACCAGTGACAAGAGATGAGGTGATTTCCCTAGAGGAGCCAGAAAGGCTCAGGACTTGGGGGAGCAAGGTAAAGATAAGTTGTGAGAGAATGAAACCTAGAATTTGACTCAAAGTCTTGAGTATGGTCTAGTTAAACTTACAGGTTGCCTCTCCTACCCAGTGCAGCCAGACTAGGAAGCCAGAGGAAGCAGTAACGGGCATCACCGTGGGCACTATGGGAGAGTGGCGAGAGTGTCAATATGACAGTTTCACAGACTTAATAAAAGTTAATTCTTTGCCTTTAGATTTTCTCAGAAAATTAACAGGAAAATTAAAGCAACCCATTATTGAGTCAATTTTTACTTTTTTAATGAGGTAGAAAATAACAGACTATATCACAAGTAATGAAGGAGATAGTTTTTCATAGTCTTAATATAGTTTATATATATCCGTATGTACATATGCATATATATATATATATATATATATATATATATATGTATGTATGTATATATATGCAAAGAGAGAAAGAGGGAGAAGGTTGTGATATAAAATGTACTTCTTTAGTGGGGCTTCTGATAAATTAAAAAAAAAAAAAAAAACCAAGTAGGGCAGTGCTCTAACATATGATAGTTTTCTAGTTTAGTGGAGAAAAGTTGCTGGTCAGAGTTGAATTATTTTTCTTTTCAGAGAAAATAAGAGAAGCAGAATAGAATAGACAGTATGATTGATGTACGTACATTCCATGTATGTATTATATGTCAAAATACATTCTGCTGTCATGTATGACTAAAAAAATTAAAAATAAATAAATATATAAATAGCAGTCTTGCTAAAAAAAAATAAGAGATACCATAAAAATGACTAAAAACCGGGCTGGGGATGTGGCTCAAGCGGTAGCGCGCTCGCCTGGCATGCGTGTGGCCCGGGTTCGATCCTCAGCACCACATACCAACAAAGATGTTGTGTCCGCCGAGAACTAAAAAATAAATATTAAAAAATTCTCTCTCTCTCTCTCTCCTCTCTCTCACTCTCTTAAAAAAAAAAAATGACTAAAAACCTAGACATAACAATTGAATTCCTTATTTAACTTTCTGTGTGTTTGTGTGTGTGTGTGTGTGTGTGTGTGTGTATGTGTATGTTACACATTAGGCAAGTGTTCTACCACTGAGCTACACCCTCAACCTTTCATATTTATCTTGATGACATGCTCACAAAGTGGTGTATTCACTGGTTTTTCTTTTCTTTTTTTGGTACTAAATATTGAACCCAGGGGAGCTCTCTCACTGAGCTACATCCCCAGACTTTTTATTTATTTTTAGACAAGGTCTCGTGAAGTTGCTTCGGCCTCACTAAGTTGCTGAGGCTGGCCTTGAAGTTGCCATCCTCCTGTTTCAGCCTCCTGTTACTAGGATTACAAGTGTGTGCCACTGCACCTGACAGTGGCTTTTCTCTTCAAGGCTGAATGTTCCCCCTACCAAATGTACAGAACACAGAATCTGTCAGGAATTTGAACCCCATTCCATACCTGGTGGATCTGGAAGACCGAGACAAGAGCTGCATGTAGGTAATCATGCTGAGGCTGTTTGGTGTAAAAAATCTGGATTGGATGCTGCCGACCTTCCAGGTAGAGGACAGGGGCTCCATTGAAATACTGAGAAAACAGGTCCACATCCATGGTAGCTGACATCACAATCACCTTCGCAAGAGAACAAAAAGGAGGATAGCAAGTAGGCATTGGACAGCTTTTCTATGCCCCTCCCAAGCCCTAAAAGCAGATGGTCAAGGCCTGTGCCACTCCCATCATGTTTATCTTTCTCTGTGGTTCTGAAGCAAGAAAACACATGGGAAAGAAACAAGCCTGTTTCCTTAAATTGGCTGCACATACTTTGAGAGGCAGTTTCCCCAGTTCCTTTCGCCTCTTCTGAGCAGCTTTCACCACTCCAAAGAGCACATCTGTGTGGATAGTCCGTTCGTGGGCTTCATCCAAAATGATACAGCTGTACTTCCGAAGCAGGGAGTCTGATATTGCTTCACGCAATAGCATGCCATCAGTTAGGAACTTGATCCTGGTGTCTTCTGAGGTGACATCCTCAAAGCGCACTGTATAACCAACCTATATGGAGGAACAACTCGTTCATGCACCAAACATCTGTTGAGCATCCCCTTGTATCCAGCACTGTTCTAAGCACCTATCACAGTGCACAAGACCAACACTACCCTGGCCTGCTCCCTTGGGGATCATATGGTCTACTCAGTGGACATGCACCTTTAACTGCAATTATGTTGAGCATCTGCCAGTAAATAGCTGAAACTGGAAACTAACTTGCTAAGTGAAATAAGCCAGTACCAAAAAACTAAAGGCTGAATATTCTCTCTTAATATGTGAATGTTAATACACAATAAGCGAGGAAGGGGACATATACCTTTAACTGCAATTATGTTGAGCATTACAAAGAATTTTAAACTAACCTCCTACCAGCTACTTAATAAGTTTCACATGAAGCTGTATATCGATATGAAAAAGATGTCCAAGATGTTTTTAAGTGAAGCTAGTATACATGCACACAAAAATAAATCTGTCTTCTATAAAATTCTGAAACTCATCTTAAATACCTACATATATGCTAGAGATGCCTACAATGTTTCTAGAAAAATATAAAAATATTTAACAGAGGTTACTAAAGTCTCAAAATGCTCAAGGAAAACAATTTATCTAACTTTCCAACAGGTGGCAGAGGTACTAGGAATTGAACTCAGGGGGACTTAACCACTGAGCCACATTCTCAACACTTTTTATTTTTTATTTTGAGACATGGTCTCTCTAAGTTGCTGAGGCTGCTTTTGAACTTGTGATCCTCCTGCCTCAGCACAATCCTGAACAGCTGGGATCTCAGGCCTGTACCACCCTGCCTGGCTCCAACAGCTTTTGAAAGCAAAGCAAACAGAATTGCAACCCTTTTAGATTCTCTATCTCTTCAGAACTGGGAAAGAACTCTGAGAATGGCCTAAACAGCTGTGGCAAAAAAAAGGTTTGCCATGTATAAGAAATCTTGTTCAGAAAAATATAAAAAGGCAAAAGGCACAGTGAGAGCACTGCTCAGTAAACAGCACTGATATTAAACAAGGAAATGAAGTACCAGTTTCCCAAGTTCAGTTCTCTTCTCATCTGACACTCTAGTAGCAAGAGAGATGGCGGCTACTCGTCGGGGCTGGGTCACAGCAATGATGCCCTGGCGGCTGATGCCCCCTTCATAGAGGTACTGAGGGATCTGAGTTGTCTTCCCAGAGCCAGTTTCCCCTAGGAATGAAAAAAAAAAAAAAAAAAAGTCTCACTTAGATGTAAATTGACACAGAATTCTCCAATCAAACAGCTTAAAGTCAGAAAAAAATATACATATATATAAGAAAATACCTTGAGTTAAAGGCCTCAGAAAAATGTGCACTCATGTTTACTGCTGCAGAGTGTTCGCTGAAATTGTTTCTGGGGAAGTTAAACTATATTTTTAAAAATTTGAAATGTTGGTGCCATTTGACCCACAATTCCACTTTCAGGGATTGATTCTAAGGAAATAATTAAAGATGACTTCTTCAACTTGGCTCATAAAAATTAGAAGGGAGATCAGTAGCATACAGGAAGGGGACCAGAGGAAGGGAAGAATAAGGGAAAGGGGGAGGTACCAGAGAAAAAACTTAACTAAATTGTGCTATGTGCATGTATGAATATGTCACAATGAATCCTATTACATTTAATTATAAAAAATAAAAAATAAATTTAAAAAAACTTCGGCTCTTGACATTTAAAAATTGGAAACAATATATATGTTCAACAAGAGGTAGCTGGTAGAGTTATAAGATAAAATGAAATACAACTGGGCTGGGGATGTGGCTCAAGTGGTAGCGCGCTCGCCTGGCATGCGTGCGGCCTGGGTTCGATCCTCAGCACCACATACAAACAATGGTGTTATGTCCGCCGATAACTAAAAAATAAATATAAAAAAAAAAATGAAATACAACTGTTATACAGATTGGTATGTATTAGCAAGAAAAGATGTCATTCACACATGTAACCATAACAAACTCCTGACCATTCCCTGACCTGCCACTTTCTTTCAATCCCTCTGCCTCTGTCCACACTATTCCAGAACTAGATACCTGCCCTCATGCTGCTACCTAGAAAACGACAAGATGGGTAAGCCAGGGCTGGGGATGTGGCTCAAGCGGTACCACACTTGCCTGGCATGCGTGTGGCCCGGGTTCGATCCTCAGCACCACATACCAACAAAGATGTTGTGTCCGCCGAGAACTAAAAAATAAATATTAAAAATTCTCTCTCTCTCTCTCTCCTCTCTCTTTAAAAAAAAAAAAAAGATGGGTAAGCCCTTAATGGGGCCCAAGGGCTGCACTGGTGGCCCTCATCTGGGCTCCTCTGTGCTCTGTTCATCCCTCTCCTAGCACTGAACAGACTAGTTTGTATAGAATATTTAAATGTTTCTGTCCTTTTCCAATACCAGAAGTACTGGAAAGCAAGTCAGTCTCTGTCTTTCCATGGACTTGAGTACCCTGCATACAGTAAGTATCCAATAAATGTTATTTCCTACCCTCTGTGGGTCCCTTTAACAGTGTCTAATTAGATCAAAGAACTCAGGGAGCTCAAAAACATCTGCATAGAAGCAGCCTTCCTATTCAGCTCCTCCACAGTTTAGAATAGAACAAGTACTTGGGAAACCTAGGCATCCTCTTTCCTTGCTATCATGACCCCTCTCTAGCTTCCAAGTCTTAGAGTCCCATTTCTCTCAGTTATCAGAGCCCTTTAACTGCTCATCCTTCCTGACCCAGCCAAGAATCACAGACTAAAGAATTTGAGTATTCTACAATCTTCCTGCTGAATCTCCTAGGCACAATCCTAACAAATTGGATCCATGTCTCCCCTTCCTGCTCCTATACCAGAATAACTGAGCATTGCTAAAGTAAAATAACCAAATGCTGCAGATGTAGGGCTAAGAGACATCTGGGCACCAACTCTACCATTGATCTTGTTCCTGTTTTTGCAGCCTGTTTTCTGTCTCTATCCTCCCCAAGGACCTACTTGAGGCTCTGAGACTCCCATTCTCAGCAGAACTCTTCCAAGAAAAAAAAAAGTCTTCTAATGTGATTTCCCTCTACAAGTGCATCTGCAATCACACCATTCTTGCTTCCTTTCTCCAGGGCCCACAGTCCTCTGAGACAGCATTCCTCCTATCTAGGCCAGCTCTCCTCTAGTCCTTGTTGCCAAGTGGCCCCCACCCAACCTTTACTATTAGTTCTATCCTTTCTTCAGCCTCCCTCTCTGCTGAGTTCTTCCCCTTAACCTATGAATATCTGTAAATTCTTCTCAGCCTCTCTTTTTTCTCAAAACAGAAAATTGAGCCCTCTACTTTCTTTCCTTCACCTTCTGCCTACTTAACTCAATACCACATTAGCTCTTACCACCATGGTTCCGTTGAAATATGCCCCAAAGAGGGCTGGGGTTGTGGCTCAGAGGTAGAGCACTGGCCTAGCATGGGTGAGGCACTGGGTTCGATCCTCAGCACCACATAAAGTAAAATAAAGACATTGTGTCCACCTATAACTAAAAAATAAATATTAAAAAAAAAGAAATATGCCCCAACCAAATCCAGTGGGCAATTTTTTGAGTGGTCCACCTATTACTAAACTTTACGGTTGCATCTGCTCACTGCCTTCTTACAGCTATATTCCTCTGATAAGCAGCAGTCCTGGGTCTCCTTTCCGTCTTTGATAGCTCATCTTCATGAGATCTTTACTAAATGTGGGAGATCAAAGCCCCTTGAAATTAATCCCTGCCTTACAGCTCTGCTCAGCTCCTTACATGCATCAGAACTACTACTTCCCATCCCATCGGCCTGTTTCCAGTCTCCAGTCTCTCAGGCACGGTCTCTTCTACATAGAAAGCACTCCCTCCAAGTTCACCTCCCCAGCCGTCTTCACAGATTAGTTTGGATCCACTCATCTAAGCTTCCAAAGCCCCCCATACGCTTCTCTACCCTTTCAGCGAAAGTTAGTCTTTCTCTACAACCGTCGGTAACTTCCACTCTTCTCCGAGGTCCCTCTCCAGGTCTGGCACAGAAGGGACGTTCAAGTTTGTTTAAAAAAAAAACGAATGAAAGGGAGAAGCACCTAAGAAACTGTTCCCGCAAAGCAGGAACCAAGTAAAAAGGAACCCGCTGACGCGGCCACTCACCAATGAAGACCGCGCTGTCCAGGTTTCGGAGCTGGGCCAAGAGCTGCCCCCGCGCCTGGAAGATGGGCAGACTCCGGCGCTGCAACTCCAGGGCCTCACGGTAGGGACTGGCCGAGGGCTGGGCCAGGGGCGGCTGCTGTCGCCGGCCTCCTCCTCCACCTCTACCGCAGCCGCCGCCCGCAGTCAGCAGCATCACTACTCGCCTCTCGGGAGGGTAGGAACCGGCGCGTCTCGGAGGCCCACAGCCCGGCCGGAATCTCTTGGCCGGCGGGAAGCCCGCCTCCTCCGGCATGTCGGGAGGACGCCGCGGCAGGAGGCGCTAGAGCAGGAAGCTCCTGCCCCTCTCGGTTGCCGGCACCACGCAAGCACCGCCCCTTTCTCTCCACGTGCAGCCGGTTCTGGGCGACCACCAACGACCTAACGGCCGCCCCCAAGCTTTAGGGAGGGGACTACAATTCCCAGAATGCATTGGGGGTTGGGGAAGACATTTAATTCTTAGGGGCGATGAGAGTAGAGGCTGATGTACAACCACAAAAAAGCCCGGAGCAACAACAGAGAAAGATTGGGTATGCGGTTCCGTGGGACATTGGTCTAGAATAACGACTTTCTTCTCCTTGACGTTAACACCGGTTTACTTCCAGCAAAAATGCGTTTCTCGCCTGGCGCCGTGGCGCGCGCCTGTAGTCCCAGTGGCTCCGGAGATTGAGGCAGTAGGATCGCGAGTTCAAAGCCAGCCTTAGCAAAAAGCGAAGTGCTAAGCAATCAGTGAGACCCTGTCTCTAAATAAAATGCAAAATGGGGCTGGGGATGTGGCTCAGTGGTTGAGTGCCCGAGTTCAGTCCCCTGTACATTTCCCCCCACCGCCCCAAAACAAGTTTCATCTTCTCTGTGCACAAAAATCGTCACTCTTCAAGGAATTACTTATTTAAAGTCAATGAGAGGGGCTGGGGATATAGCCCAGTTGGTAGAGTGCACAAGGCCCTGGGTTCAATCTCCAGTACCCCACCCTACCCCCCAAAATCAATGAGAAATATAAAGGTTTGCATTGATCTTCTAGAGTTAAATGGTAGATCCTGATACCCTCAATTTACAAATGAAGAAATTGAGTTTTCTGAAATTAAAGTCATTCAAATGTCACAAAATCTTAATTTTGAAAAGGGCAATGTAACCATCCTTATTAACAGAAAAGAAAGACGAATTCTATGACTCTGACAATCATATTTTCCTAAGACAGTGATCATCTGGATGGATGCTGTGTGCTTCAGCAACACAAGCAGGGAAAGAGGGAATTGAATGGAACTAAAATGGTCTTTAATGCTTCCTTTCTCCCAATCATTACTGCCAGACTCTCAAAATTCCTTACACAACTCTCCAGCCCTGTCATGATACTCTAACCAATGAAAACATCTAGAACTCCAGCACAGAAAATATTACTAGTTCCTCTGTTCCTTCCTAAAAGCTTTGAGAGGAACCGGTTGCAGTGGCGCACACCTGTAATCCCAGTGGCTCAGGAGGCTAAGACAGGAGCTTCTCAAGTTCAAAGCCAGCCTCAACAATGGCGAGGCACTAAGCAACTCGGTGAGACCCTGTCTCTAAAGAAAATACAACATAGGGCTGGGGATGTAGCTTAGTTGTTGAGTGCCCCTGAGTTCAATGTCTGGTACAAAAAAAAAAAAAAAAGAAATAAACAAAAAACTAATTCACTCCAGGAAGATTGGCTCTGCATACAGGAAATATGACCTCCAGAGAATAAAGGATAAGTTTCAACCTAACGTGAAAGAACATCTTCTGGAGTTTATTTCCGTGAAACTCAGTATGTGAAAAAAAATTCTCCTCAGTATGTGTTTAAAATCCTCCTTTCCCTTTCTCAAGGTCAAGAGATCATTTTTCTTCAGTTCTTGACAGTGTAATAATCGGGGGTTACTAAAAATGTACGTTGAACCAACAACAGATGTTTTTCAGAATTGACAATTTTTTGCTTTTTAATTCTTAAATATTAATTTAGAAAGGTGATCTAAAACTACAAGGGAAAATAAATGTTGTAATGGACCGGAAATAAACAAAAAATACAAAAACAGAACAAAAAAAGTAAAAGATCCCAGTCCTTTTCCAAACTAACCTATTGTTATATATGTTACAAGAATACAGGTAGGTAATATGAATGAGCGAAATAATTTCTTGATAGGGGACATGCCTTGTCCCTAGAAGCGGTCATTAATTGCTTCTAGGCAACAGCTGTCACGCAGGCTATTTTTCTTCCTATTTTTTCAAGAAAAGCGAAAAAATAAAGATTTTATGTGACACCTGTTTAAAATATTGACTAAAAAAATTTTGACATGTATAATTAGAACAAATTAAAAAATATATATTATATATGCTCTCCCCCCAAAAAAGTGTTTCTTGAAATGCAAAACATGGCACATTAAGCTGGGCATGGAGGCTGATGCTTGWAATCCCGGAAATTATGGGTGAAGTAGGAAGTACAAGTTTGAGGTCAGTCCCAGCAATTTAGTGAGACCTTGTCTTAAAATGAAAATATTAAAAAGGACTGGAAATGTAGCTCAGTGGTAAAGCGCCCCTGGGTTCAATCCCCAATACCAAACACCACGGTACTTCTATATGAAACTCTTCCATAAACTCTGGCTTAGTATCCTGTTCTGCAGCCTCTAAACTCAGTTGAAAAAATTAAATCCTACACAAGCATCAAGTTATATTGCCCACATTTCCCCCATTAGTAGTGTGAAATCTTCTGCCCCTCCAAATAGTCTCTTGTGGTTCAGCAGCTTTCATTTACAGATGTTGACACACTAATAATACTATTCAAAGTATATTCTGGCTCTTCCTCCAAAAGGTCATGTATTAGACACATTTCATTTTTTTTTAAAGTGAGAGATAATTTTTTAATATTTATCTTTTAGTTTTCGGCGGACACAACATCTTTGTTTGTATGTGGTGCTGAGGATCGAACCCKGGTCGCACGCATGCCAGGCAAGCATGCTACCGCTTGAGCCACATCCCCAGCCCCACATTTCATTCTTAACTTGTCTGAGATACTTGTGTGGACTTCTCAGGTCTGACCATGACCATACCAGCTGGTGGTCATTGTGAAGGTTTGGATGTGTCTCCCCAAAACTCCTATTGATGTAGGAATGTTCAGAGGTGAAATAATTATATTATTATGAAGGCTGTAACCCAATTAATGAATTAATCCATTTGATGGATAATAATTTGAATGGACTAACTGGGTGATAATGAAAGGCTGGTGGGACATGGTTGGAGGAAGTAAGTCACTGGGGTTTGTATTTTGTCCCTGATGCCTTGCCCTCTCCCTCCCGCTGTGCTGTCAAGTCTTTGAGTAGTTTTCCTCCACCAGTCCCTTCTGCCATGAAGTTCTGCCTTACCTTAGGCCCAGAACAATGGTGTTGGCCAACTATGGATTGAAACCTCTGAAATCCTGAGCCAAAATAAACTTTCCTCATCTACATTTTCTTGTCAGTTATATTGGTCACATCGAGGAAAAGCTAACAGTCACCTGACCACCAAACCATGGTCCTTGATCACATTCAGTTCAGCTCCAATCCCAATTTCAGAGACAATCATAAGCCTCAGCAATTAGGCACAAGCTTGCATGCATACATATGAATCCCTTTGTAATTAAAAATACCAGATAATAGTTTGCTGATTAATAAACAAAGTATTTATTCAGCACCCATGTGCCAAGCACTGTGCTAGGCACTGTGGTGGATACAAAAATTAAGACATGGTCCCTGCCCTTAAGGAGCTTACATTCTCATGAGGGAGACAAGACTAATATACATGTACCAGCTAGGAACAGTACAAGACAATATATAATTTGGTGTAAGAATATGTCATACAGATTTGAAGCTTTATAGAGATTCAAAGAAGACAATGAAATAGGCCTTAGAATCAAGATTTCTTGAGGTGTCAGGAACAAGTCCAGGCCTTGAAGGATTAGAGAGACTTAACTTGAGGTCCCTGTTAGGTAGAAGTGGGAATAAGGTTCAGAAGACAAAAAGTATGCATTTAATATAGGGGCTAAGAATTCACTGGATTTTTGAGCAGGTAAGTAACTTGACCATATAAGATTCGACAACTTTAATGAAAACTCATAAAATATGTAAGTAATTTAGGGGCATCCTGCAGAGCACTAAAAATGATGACAGGATCTTAGCTAACACCAAAGATGAAACTTACCTGTCAAAGGAGAACAGAACCATGACTTAAAACACTGGCAGGAGAGATGACAATTCTAGAAAGCCAGTTACTCAACACAGCATAGCTCTCATATTTCCTAATTTTCAGAAGTCCAGAGAGACTGAGTGAGGCTTTCCTTAACAAGATCCAGGACAAGGGTGCTTTGCTTTGAGAGAATACAGAAGTATGAAAGATATTAGGACATACAATAGTGACACAGAAAAAAAAAAAAAAAAAGAACCAAGTGGAAGAAACAAATAGAAATCCATAGTGAAAAAACACACCAAAATGTATATAAAATGTATCTCCTAGGGAGATGCAATTTGCTCGTCCATTTATTTTCAAATGAACATATATTGTATTTCTGTAACAAAAAAAACATGTTTTAATCAGGTGTGTGCTTTTCAGTATAACTAGTAAAATTCAGGAATCTTTCAAATTATATGTATGTAAGGTTGACAGGTCACAAAAATTCCATATATCAAATCTCACTTTTCAATTGACTTGCATTATGAAAAGGAAATGTTCTGGAAGACTCAAGATCAAGAGGTAAGCTAGGGAAGAAGTAAGGACTTTTCCTTAGGTTCAGGTAAGCCTGGGGATCCTGTCAAGCAACACAGGGCTGGGGATGAGTGGGAGTGGGACTGGCCAAACTGATAAGAGGTCAGTGATTTAAATCACCACTGCCAAGGACACAGTGTAGTAGCACAGCAGGGCGTCCTGCCACTAGGAATTTATACCCTACAAAAGCAGAGAAACAAAATCCTATAAATGACTGCCTTTAGGCTATACATTCAAAATGTGTTTCCTGTTTTACCCAGTCATGAATGTGTACAGATACTCCCTAATTAAATGAAAAGTCAGTGAACAGATTTTAGGATTAAAATTTTACCACAAAAATTCTATTAATTGGATAACCCAAAATTAAGTCAAGGAGAACAAATAAAACTAGAGAAACCCATTTCTAGCCCCAAAGCAAACAAACAAAAAACTACTAAAAGTCATTGATAAAACTTTCTAGATAAAGACAAAGATGATTAAATTTAAGAATCCTGTAAGGATTATACAATCTAAGTATGGCATTTAAACTTTAAAAACACTTCTTAAACTGCTTAGAAGAAAAAGCAGTCCCATTGACCCAAATTCCATAAAACTGCAACAATCATATTCAAAGTTACTTACTAGCAACGTGTAAAATACGCGTACGAAATTCCATACTTATGCATATTCCAATTTTAA